GTTTTCTAAAATTCGAGTGTTTGCTTGAAAGCTCACATTTTATCATTGGCAACAAATATTTCCAATTTTCCTTGTAATGAGCAGCTCACTTTGTTCATTTTCTAGAGCAGTCTGCCAAATTCCCCCGAGTCTGAATAACTATAGTTTGGCAATTATTCTTTCAAGTAAAAATAGCTGCTCTTGCAAAAGTGGCAGGTTCCAGCACAACTCAGTTTATTCCGAAGGCAGCTGCTGCACTGGGAAGCGCAGAGCTCTGTGGGCCCCTCCCCCCATGCCCTCACACAGACTACTTTCAAGACTGGAGTCCAGGGCAGAGATTTAACACATTAGTTGTGTTGAGTGTGGTGGTGAAGTGTGCTGTCTAGTTTGCTGACCCGCCTCAGTTCACGTTAAGGCTCCTGCCTCCCCGAGTTTGGGGATTATAGGCATGTATCACATACCCAGCTAAGAACACTTGATGTGTTTTGTTTTAATTTTTACATGTTTGTATTTGAGGGTATTTCAACTCAAATAAAGATCATGTTAATACACATCTATTTGTTTGTTTGTATATTTAGTTATTTATTTTGCTCTGCAGTTAACTATAATTTTCTACTTCCAGACAGTCTAGCCACAGAAGTGTGGTTTTGCAGAGAGACTTGGATAACAATTTTGTTAAGTTTTATTCTGCCTTAATAAAGCCCAGTGCCTTGAATAAATAATGTGAGAAGAAATACCCCAGGTTGGCAAATCACATTTAATTTAAAAAATACTTTATGAATCTTTCTTCCCTGATTATGGAGTCATCTTTAATTCAATTCAATAAAACATTTAATTTTGTCTCTATCTTCAGAGAAATTCACAGGTCAGGTTGTTCACAGAAAGTATTTAGTAAATGGAAGTATATGACATTTCTAATCATCATTTCAGGTCAGACTGTAAAAAATCCATTTATTATTTCCCCACAAAATCTTGAGGGATAGAATTAAATCAAATGTCTCTATACATTTTCTGAGAGGCTTCCACATTAAAAAAAAATTGCAACAGTCTAATCAAGAAGCTCAAATTGTTGCCTATATTGAAGACAGTTTTACATACTAGGCCAAGTGGGTTTTTTTTAATCACCTAATTGGAGTTGGCAGCCATGGTAAGAGTTCAGAGCCAGCTGTGAGTGCAAACACCCTGTGCCCACACTTACGCTGGAGACCTAAGGAGACCACTGCAGGCCTAGCTGCATAGTGACCTGGCCTCCATTGTCACCTGGCCTATAAGAGCCCCACGAAGGGGCCACGAGTCTCCTGGAGTCAGTGTCCTGTGGTGCCAGTCACTGGCATCTATGTGGACAAGTTGATTAAGGGACTAGACTTCGAGAAACTGCATTCCCATTTCAGCACCTGTGAACAAGAAATCCTGAGCAATATGTAACCCCTGTGCCTCATTTTCTGTTAAATGGCTTGTGATAATGCACTTTTTGAACAGTATTGATTACATTTGTATCACTCTGAAGACTAGATGAGTTATTTCACGAAAAGAAAATGTTCAGAAGAATGCCTGGCCCGTAGCACACACTTTGATATGCTGGCATTATTACTATGAATCTAAAAGCTGTGTGAGATCCCAGCCAGGGAATACTTCACTGGAAGTCTGAGAAGTCTACAAAATTCAGCCTCTGCGCCTGAGCTCCTGTCTCTTTAGCTTGGCGTTAACAGCAAGAAGGAGCTTATTGGGAAGTTGGGGGAGGCAGGCGAGAGCTGTCAATCTCAAGAAAGGTTCTGAGCACTCAGCGTGGAGAGGTCTTGACTCAAACACATGCCCTGGGGTGTCTGTAAACCCCTGGTGATTGACAGTGCTTTTGTTCATCACTGCTCTCCATACAGATGTCCAAAGACAGGAGGGCCTGAGATCATCATTTTATGCACCTTTGGAGGCTGTGAAATATTGAGTAAGAGAAGAGCCTAGCGCTGCTCAGGCCAGGATGTGGAAATGTTTCTGGGCTGAGCAGAGCAGCCTATTATAGGAGAGGGCGTGTGCTGACTGAGAAGAATGCAATTGGGTGGATGTGGAAGAATTCTTATCATAATTCCAAGTGGCGAACCCTCACGAGGAAACTCAATACAGAAACCCGCCTGTGGTGGGATGGCCTGGTGATGGGGGTATGGAGTGTGGCTGATGAGGCTTGGTGGGGAAGATGAGAAAGAGAGCTTTGTGGTAAAGGAACCCCCCCCGGGGGGGGTAGTAATGAGAGAAAGGGTGTGTGAGAGGGGAGGTCATCACAACTGGACCAGAACTGGGATGTGATTCGCTCTGAAGTGTATGTCTATGTTCGGAGAGAGTTTTGTAGTAGTCAGGCTGATCCTAGAATTGGCACAGTTGTGTATGGGGTGCATGCCTGTGTCCCCAGAGGCTGGCACACAAGGGCTGATTGTGCCAGAACCAAAGAGTCAAGAGTTTGTCTGGAGCCAAAGTAACCTAGAACTTGCCGCCAATCCTGAGGTTGGAAGTCTGATGGTCAGACAGACAGACACGCTGACGGACTGTTCCCATTTTCACAGTGCGGCTCTCCTCTGCTCTCCTTGGCCAGACTACAGTATTGGCACCATCCATACTGTCCATGGCTCTGGGCTCTGTGAAGACTGCTGTCTCTGACCAGAGCCCCTGGACCCTGGGACCCTGGGATCCTGAGGCAGCAGCTTCCAGAAATGCATGCAATAGACAGCTTGGTGGCTGTACAGGGGAGACCAGAGCAGAGTGGCCCTGGGACTGGTCCTCAGCTTCCAGCATACAGATGTGCTGGGAGGGATGTGTTGTGGTCTGAAGGTACACTGCCTCCCCCCCACTGGAAGTTAGGGACACGCGAGTGAACAGCCTGACCTCAGCAAACACAGCAGGATTCTAACACCCGAGGATGCTGTGTGCACACAAATAAATCTGGATTCCATTTGTTCACTCCACAGTCTGCACTGGAAGGAGGGGTGGGCGTGGTTAGCACTGCCTGCTCACCCCTAGGCACCGCCTGCTCACCCCTGGGGGCTGGGGCAACCCCATTGCTGCCCACCCTCCAGGCCTCCAAAGACAGTGGAATTAGAATTGCTCCAGGTTTGTGAGTATCCCTTAGAATTCATGCCATCGAATGTTTTTTTTTTTTCTTCAAAATAAAAAAAAATGCCTATATGATGGAGAAAATAGAATGTGCATCCCCAAACATGCAAAAGATTTCTGTTTGGAGCCACTGGGACCAACACTGCCTCTTTTTCTTTTCTTTCTGTTTCTTTTCTGTTTGCTGTTGCTGACAGGGTTTCACTGTATAGCCCTAAGTGGTCTGGAACTCACATGCTGGCCTGGAACTCATAGAGATCCACTGCCTCTACTTGTGAATACTGGGATGAAATGTGTTTAATCCCAGCAGTTTCTTAATTTGGAAACATGACCATGAAAAGCCACTTGGGACTTACCGTGGGCAAATTTTTCTAGTGGCGGACGAGGCAGCGGAGCTCCTTCCCTCCATCTGGAGCACATTTTCCAGAACTCAGTGGGCATTGTGGCCTGATGTTTAGACAAAGACAGAGAAGCAAAGGAAATGGTACCGATGTACCAACCTGGAGCCCATATTTGGCTGGTGAAAACATCACTGGGAAGCGCCCCACCCTAAGAATTAGGTGAACACAGAGTCCCGGGAGTAACCTGCAGCCTGGGAAGTAGCCTCAAATCTCCAATTTCCTGGGACAGTACTCCTGGGGGCTTGCTGAGTTCAAGCTTTCCACCGGCCTTTATATGTAGATCTGAATTGTGCTCCATGGCTCACAGGCTGAGCATTTGGTGCCCAGCTGGTGATGTGGATCCCTTTGGTGTTAAGGGGAGCCCACCAGAGATGACCACTCGGACACAGTGTATAACCAATTCAAAGTCTTTATTCTAGCCGGCTAAGACCACACCCAAGTGTTTGGGGACCTGGGTGTGGCCCTGAGTATCCAGAACAAGGGGGTTTTAAGGGCAGAGACTCGACCACCAGGTGTTTCACTCAGCAGCTGTTTGGAGGGGGGCAGATTCCCAGAGTAAGCAGTTTGAAACAAGAGGCTTTAACAGAAGCTAAGATAAGGGTTAGCTCAAGGGGGTTCTGTACAAACAGGGTGTTTTAACAAAGGCTAAGGTAAGTTAGCGAGGACATCCTGACCTTTGGTTCCTAGAATAGAGTTGGGTAATCTTCCATAGGATTCTCCATCTAGGAAATCAAATTCTAGTTAGACCTGTAGTGTCCTCAGCAAGAATACAAGATGGAGGAAGCTGCTCTGTCACATCAGAACTGGGGGTTGGCTGCTGGAAGTGGGTCAGTAGTGTCAAGATACCCACCCCTGGTTACAGGCTGAGTGTCTGGCTCCCTGGTTCCTGCCACATCACACACGCAGCCATTCCTTCTCCACCACGAGGGACTGAAATCCCTCTAAAACCATGAGCTGAAGTAAACCATTGACAGTTACTGACTGCCAATTGATAGGGTCTGGAAATCCCTAGGGGACAAGCCTCTGGGCAGGTCTGAGGGACCTTCTAGAATAGTGTGAAGCCCGCCCTGAATGCGGTGGCATGTTCTGTGGGCTGAGATCTCAGATTGCAGAGAAAGGAGAAAGCCGAGTGAAAACCAGCGTTTATCTCTCTCTGCTTCCTGACTGTGGGTGTGAGGTAACCAGCCACCTGCCAGGCCTTCCCCACCAGGAGATAGTACACTCCAGAGCTGTGGGCCCAGCGCCACCTTTCCTTCCTTACGCTGTTGGGTATTGTGTCGCGGCAACAAGGGAAGTACTAATGAACATCCGAAGAGATGTTAAGAGCTGTTTCCATCAGGAATTTTTTTATGGTGATAAAAAAGTGACTAATACAACCCCATAAGTTCCTACTGTGGGCTTCGACCCTCCCCATCTCCACTCACAAGCACTCGCTGACACGCCATTCTCCCTGTTTCAGAAGAATTCCTCCTCCAGCAAGCCCTCCAGCCCCCTCCCCCACTCCCCTCCCCCCCCCCCCCCCCCCCGGACTCTGAGAAGATGGCTGTGGGGCTGTTATGACTACATCCATCGGGTTTTTGCCCTCAGGACACTTCCAGGTAATTCATTTCAGCAGATTCTCTGTGCGCATGCAGGCATCCGACCGTTGCCAACTGTAAGCATATGCATGTTAGAGAGCTAAGTGAGAAGTGGGAGGGTTCTCCTGGGTGTCTACCACGGCCCAAAGGAAAGAAGCAAACCTTGATACATGCAAAGCTAGACCAGTCGGAGGTCAGAACTCAACATGTGAGACATGCCGGGCTCTTTGCTAGGGACTGAGAACCCATAGGTAAAGAGAGGCTGCCAGCTCCCCAAGGGATTTATGGGTAAGTATGGTGATATTTTATTTTGTACTAAAATGTTATTTGTATGTTAATAAATAAAGTTGCCCCGGGGTCAGAGATATTAGCAAGCCATAGGAAAGCCAGGCGGTGGTGGCGCACGCCTTTAATCCCAGCTCTTGGGAGGCAGAGCTAGGTAGATCTCTGTGTGTTCAGGGATACAGCCAGCATTGGAGACACACGCCTTTAATCTCAATACCAACCATAGAAGACCTGGAGGTCTGTACAGACAGGCAGTGACGAGGCGGTCATGTGGTTGGGTTTACAACCAACAAGAAGGCAGAACCAAAAGTCTTTATAAAGACTTTAACATAGGAAGTAGCTATTTTTTGGAGAGGTAGGACTCCCGCAGGAGGAAGGGTAAGGTTTTAGCTCTTAGCTCTGACCTCTTGGCTTTCTTCTTTGCATTGGTTCTGTGTTTCTTATTTAATAAGACGGTTGGTTACATCTACAGGTAAGTGGTGAAGACCAGCAAGAAAAGGGCACTTCAGAGCCACCATGGAACATGATGTCCTTGTGTTATTCGGGGCTTACTAGAGACGCAGAATCCATAAGAAAATTATGTATGTATATGCCTCACTGTTTACTACAAAGTGAGTAGTATCAAGACCTGTGAGTCAGTAAGAAAGGACGCAGTGTTCTCCTGCCTGCCCAGAGGCCAGTGGATGTAAGACCCAGAAAGAGGCAAGATTTCAAGTCAAGTTCATAGGCCAGAATAAAGCTGATGGTTCCATCCAGGGACTCTTAAGAAGGATGAAGTCTCTCTTCCAAAAGAGTCAGCCTTTTTTATTCCTCTTCAGGACTTCATCTGATGGAAGATGAAGGTTTTTATACTAAGGAGAGCAAGCCGCTTCCATCAGTCCACTGGTAAATTTCATCCAGAAATACTCCAGTGAACACAGCCAGGATATGATTGATAGATCCTTGGAACCCCATTTCCCAGCCAATAGAGACACTGCAGATATAATATGCATTGTGAGAGCATGTAGGAGGCCGCCTAGATGGGCAGGGTGATGAGGAAGAAATAACACTGAATAGGCTTTGTGTGACAATGCTTTCCAAGTTCTAGCAAGAACCTCTGCACTGATAGCTCCAACTCCTTGACCATGTGTGTATAAAACTAGCCAGCACAATGGTGTGATGTTTGGGATTGAACCCAGGGCCTCACCCATGCCAGGCAAGTGCTGCACCCCTGAGCTACATTCCTGCTCTTCAGTTCCTACTTGGTGTGGAACACTTACCTACCGCTGTTTGTTCATCCATCAAGAGACCCAGTATTGAGACAAAGGTAAACTAGGATGGCCTCATGCTTCATGTAGCACAGACGCCGTGGCCGCAGATCAAAGGGGACATGTGGAGCCAGAGGACCTAAGGCAGCCCTGCACAGGGCGCTTCAGGAGATCTTGGTCCAGGAGTACCTGAGAGGCAGCCCAGGCACCCACAGTTCTGTTCACACACCCCTGGTTGACGGAAGGACAGGAGGAAGACAATGTCTGTGCCATGCGGCACTCAGACTTTGGTTGTGAAGCTTGCTGGCTGGGTCTGCATCGTTTCCATCTTTGGATACTGTGTTTGTCACTTGTCTTGTGGCTGTGACCACAGATCCAATAGAAGCAACTTAAGAGAGGATTTTTGTTGTTGGGGGCTTTTGCTCTTTTGGGGGGCCTGCCACCCAGCTCCCAAATAAATCACACACAGAAGCTTTCAGAGACTATTGTCTTAGGTCTTAGGGAGGGGTAGCAAGGTATATTTTCTATAGATGATCACCACAATATGTCCCATCTCACAAGCCCTTACAATGCATGACTCTTTATTCTAAAAGAGAAGCAGGGTCTATGTCCCCTCTCCTGGGCCTGGGTAGGCCCTGTGCTGTGATGTTTGTTTGTGGCCCTGGAGATTGAACCCAGGACCCTAAGGATGCTAGACAAGCACTCAACAATTGAGCTACAGCCCCAGCCAAAGGCAGTAGCTCTCAAAAGGCTCTTAAGGAGCTCTGCTTTTAGAACTGAGACACTTGCTCGAGCATCTGTGCTATGTGTTAGCCCAGGTGCTCTTCTAGACATGAGCCTAGCTGAGGTCCCTGCTCACGTGAATGCTTAGGAGTCATGTGCGTTATGGTCTGAATCAGCAATGTCTCCCTCCCATAGGCGGCTCCTATGTTTGAACTCCTGGTATGCAACCGTGATGCTCTTTTAGAGGGCTCTGGGGCCTGGTTGGTAGAGGGGTCACTGGGGACAAGCCTTTGAAGGTTGGAGCATGGCCTATCTCTTTGCTTTCTAGTTGGTAGAAAAGGAGCAAGCCTCTGTCACATGCTCCCTCTGCTGTCACAGCCGTGTGACCCCGTCTGCCTCGCCATCATGTATATCCTATCAAAGCGTGAACCAAATGAGCTTATTCCTTTTGTCAGACTGTGGGACTTTTTAAGTTTGCAAAGTGTTTTATATTTTGATGCCAATATTCATGTGTGATCTTGGGGATAAATAAGAAAAGGTTGTAGCTTAACAGGAACGTATTTGTGTGTCGAGTTGAAATGGAGTCAATTGTGCTGACTAGTTTTGTGTCAACTTGACACAAGCTGAAGTCATCTGAGAGGAGGGAGCCTCAATTAAGAAAATGCCTCCATAAGATTGGCTTTATTCAAGCCTGGAGGGCATTTTCTGAGTTAGCAACTGATGTGGGAGGCCTAGCCCATTGAGGACGGTACCATCCTTGGGCGGATAGTCTTGGGTTCTATAAGAAATCAGGCTGAGCAAGCTATGAGGAGCAAGCCATGGCCTCTGCATCAGCTCCTGCCTCCAGGTTCCTTCTCTGTTGGGGTTCCTGTCCTGACTTCCTTTGATGATGGAGTATGATGTAAAGGTGTAAGCCAAAGAAACCCTTTCCTCCTCAACTTGCTTTTGGTCATGGTGTTTCATCGCAGCAGCAGTCAGCCTGACTAGGACACTCCCTTAAGTTGTCCTGTAAGGTACGTGTTGTCAGGGCAACAAGAGGAGTGCTAAGAATCCTGAGTGAGGGGACCTGCAGATGATTCCAGCTCTGAGCTATCAATTTGAGGTCATTTGAGGTCCCAGACATCAGAACAGAGAAAGGCAAAATGTGGGTCTCTGTTAATCTTTTTTTGTTACTATAATAAAATTCCAGAAGCTGGTTAACTATAAAGAAAATAATCCTCTTTAGTTCACAGTTTTGGAGGCTAAAATGTTCCAGACTAGATGGCCGCCTTTGTTTAGCTTCTTCTGCCGGCCTCATGGTTGGTGGTGTCACGGGACAGGAAGGAAATGATCACATCAGGAAAGTGGAGGGGGATTGTACTAGTTACTTTTCAGTTGTGTGGGTTAAACACCGGATCAAGGCAACTGATAGAAGGAAGTGTTTATTTGAGCTGATGGTTCCGGGGGACAGGAGTCCGTTTTGGCAGGGAAGCATGGCAGCCAGCAGCAGATAGGGACAGAACGAGAAACTGAGAACTCATGTCCTCAAACAAAAGCACAAAGGCAGGAGCCAACCGGAAGTCGGGTGAGGCAATGTACCCTCAAAGCCTCCCCCAGTGGAAGGCCACAACTCCTAAACCTCCCCAAACATCACCACGCAGTGGGAATGAAGTATCCACATGCCTGTGCCTATGGGGGACATTTTTTATTGTAACCACTGCAGCGACTCAAGAATTAAACACACTCTTGTGATACTTCACTTTAATGTGGGTCACAGAATAACTTTAAGTCCTTTCCAAGGGCGTATCTCAATGAAGTAGGGACCTCCCATGAGGCCCCACATTTTACTGTCTCAACACTGGGGATCAGGCATCCAGCATATAAACCCTTGGCTGACAAATCCTATATAACCATAGTGTGGACACATATTAAAAGTGTTGTTTTTTTAAAATATATTTTTACTGAAAATTTTTCCATGCAATGTATTCTGACCATGGTTTCCTCTCCCCCAATTTCTCTCCAGTGCTCCACCCCCTGACTCCATGGCATTTCTTTATCTCTCTCTTTAGAAAAAATAAACATGCAAAAACAAACAAACAAACCAGAATAAAATAAATAAATAAATAAAAGGGATGTCACAATGTGAGCATTACACTCCCTCCAGTTCACGTGTTTAAAGGTCTCTGTGACTGTGAGAGTGCTAGGATGCAGGGCTTTAGGAGATGGTTTAGGCTCCAGGCTGCAGCCCTCATGAAGGGCTTTTGTTACCTTATAAAAAGGCTGGAGGAAGCTCCCTGGGTTCTCTTGTCCTTGTCCCTTCTGTCACTTGAGGACACAGCCCATCTTGGAAGCAGAGAACAGCCCTCATCAGCCACTAGGTCTCCTATGCCTTGACCTGGGACAGCCCCACCACCAGAACCAAGAGGAATACATTCCTATTACTTATAAATCAGGCTGGTGAGATGTCTCAGTAGGTAAGGGCATTTGCTACCATGTTGACAATGTTGGGACCCACATGACGGAAGAGAAAACTGACTCCCACAAACTGTCCTCAGACATCCATGGGGGTGTCATAGTTCACAAGCTTATGCATGCATGAATGCCCACACTAAATAAATATTAAAACTTTAAAAATAAATCAATTACTCTGTCTATGGTAGTTTGTTATAGCAGCACAAATGCAAGTGCCAGGGCTGATTAGGCCACAGGGTGAGTGCAAGGCCAGCCTGAGCAACACTGAGGCCCTGTCTCAAGGTAAAAAGTAAAGAGAACTAGGGCTAGAATCCAGATGGAGAGCGCTTGCTGAGCATACACAATACACAGGGTTCAGTCTCCAGCACTACAATAAACCAACCAGCCAACCAGTCAACCAGTCAGCCAGCCAACCAACTAACCAGCAAGCCAGCTAACCAACCAACCAACCAACCAGCAAGCCAGCCAGTCAACCAACCAACCAACCAACCAACCAACCAACCAGCCAGCCAGCCAGCCAATCAATCAACCAACCAGCAGCCAGCCAACCAACCAACCAACCAACTAACCAACCGACCAGCCAATCAACCAAACTAACCAACCAACCAATCAGTCAACCAACTAAACCATCCAAACAGCTAGCTAGCCAATCAACCAGCCAAGCAACCAACCAACCAGACAGACAGACAACCAACCAGCCAACCAACCAACCAAGCAGCTAGCCAGCCAAGCAACCAAGCAACCAGCCAGCTAGCCAGCCAGCCAATCAACCAACCAGTCACCAACCAACCAACCAATCAACCAACCAAACCAGCCAACCAAGAGACAAAATGACTAACAACAGACTGTTCCCGATCACTTTCTTTGTCTGGGTAAATCAAAGGGTACCTTGCATATCCATTGATCTTTGCTGAAGCTAGGGTTAAAGTGATCTCTTCCCCTGCCACCCATAAGACACTGGACAGTGGCTCTAGGACCAACAAACACAGCCCCTGATGAACACAATCTGCCTTCCCACTTTCAACAAATATCAAGAGTATTTTTTGTCTTTGACAAACCAAATGAAGTTAAATCTCTTTGGGGGTATTACAGCTAAATGTCACCGCTTTTCCTGAGTCCTGTAATTAAAGTCTGTAGCCTCATCCTGGGTAATGAATTTTAATCTTTTTCATGAATGATGCAGCATGTAAACCAGGAAGTATGGAGGGTGGTGATGTCAAAACTCAGGAGCAGGCTGTCTGCTTTTCCTGAGGGTCTGGCTACCAGCCACTGGTCTTCATAGAACACAGACATAGGTCAGCCTTTCCAGGTTGGTGATCCAGCCCTAGGCTTCCACGCAGGGCTTATGGGAAAGGCAAAGAGGGTGAGACAAAGGGTGGGGTCTTGAGCTGTTGGTGGCCACTCAGATCACATTACTTTGCTTTGGCGACACTTAATGAGGCACATGCTACTTTCAGTACGGCTAGAGTGTTCAAACTGAGTCCTCCCAAGTACTGACATTTAAGCCCTTCTGTGAGTTACAAGGAAGAACTTAAACCAGGTGAGATGTTTGTAGGGGGTGGCTTGGGGGAAGTGATTAGGACTGGATAAAGTTATTAGGGTGGGGTTCCAATGTCTGAGCACAATGGCTTCACAACAGATGGTACATGCATGCCCCCCATCTCTTGTCTTGGGGTGCCCTGTATCACCTTGGGACTGTGCCAGTAAGAAGCATATCATTAGCCCTGGCCCTTCAATTTTCCTCTTCCAGAATCATGAGCCCAAACAAACTTCTTTATGTGTTTTGTTTTGGGCAACAGAAAACCAATTACTAGAAGGCAGGGACAGGAAAGAGGGATGATCAAAATGCCGTGCATGTGAGTGGACTGTGAAGTCAATTGACCCAATTCTGGGTCATTGAAACATCTGTTTCATGGTGTAGATTGTCATACAAATAAAAAAGTGGACAATTGACTGTATAGGGAGTTCAGAACCCCAGGCAATGGAGCTCACCTCTTCCTAAGGTCTTTTTGACTGCCCAAAACCCTTCCTCACCTCACCTTCGACCCTTCCTCCTATCCTTCACCCCCAAGGAGAGAACAGGTCTCCACCCCTTCTGCACAGGGCTGCTTATGAACATGAGTCATTCACAGTGCAGATGTGGGCGGTTTATCTCGATGGGCCTCCGCTGGAGCAGGCTGAGGGAAGCGCCTGCCTGTGGAAGGTGGACTGAGTGGGGTTCTGGTCTCCCTGCCATCTGCTCCTCTGCTCTCCAGGAGCCAGTGGAGGCCCTGGAGCCTCTGGCATGTGACTGTTTTCCCAGCCAGCAGCTTTACTTCATTCAGCCTTCTGGACTCCTGTTTGTTTTACTCACTCATTCATTAATTTATTCATTTATTGAAGGAGTAGCTATCCCATGCCGGGCAGGTGCTAGGAGCTAAGATGTAAACACAAATAAACACGACCGCTGCGTAGCTCTTTGGCTATTAGCCATCTTGAAATGTGCAAATACACATATGTATTCAGTCTTTACACATGCTTTTCCAAACAATTCGTGTATGATAACTCAGCGAATTGTCACGGCAACCCTCTCAACAAATAATATTATCATCTTTATTTGACGCAAGAGGAACTGAAGCCCAGAGAGGAGAGGTAGCTTGCCCTACGTCACACAGCTTCTAGAGGAACCAAGAATCAGACCAGACATGTTGGCCCTTGACTGAATTCTTACCCACTTTGATTAAGTGTTTCTAGGGGTTCGAGGACATGAGTAACAGAGCACAGCAAACCTGGAAAAAGAACTTTCTCCAGGAGTCCTCAGAAATAGCACTGAGGGTTTTGTTGACGGCCCTGGGCAGAGGCAGCTTCACTACCCATGGAGAGTACAGCAGACAATTCAAGGAACACACACACACACACACACACACACACACACACACACACACACACCAGTGCACGCACACAAATGTGCTCCCAAGTTACAGAGCTTTCGGAACATGTACTTTGGCAACTGCATCCTTGGCAGAGGCTTTGGAAGCTGAAGGATGGGAGGAAGGGAGGGCTGTATTGCCTGCTCCATGTAGCTGGTCAGGCACAGGGCTCTGGGCATCTAAGGACATTGAGCATTTGTAAGAGCCACTTAGGGATGAGAGAGATGCCCTGGGACAGCCTCAAGTGAAGCGGTGTTAAGAGCATGTACAGAATCATTGTTCACTTTGTCCTGAGCCTCACATGGCTTACAGAGATAAGAGTTTATGTCTGGAATTGCTGTTTCCATCCCATGAGATGGTTATGCTTTCTTCAGTGGCCCAGGATGGTTGACTTACACGTGTAATAAATACCTTTAAATGTATAAATGGGGAACCAGGCCTGGAGATGCCTGGTTGCTTCCCGATCACCTGGCTAGGCCACCTTGAGAGCTAAGAGCATCCCTGTCTTTGTCTGTGCTTCTTCATCTGTGTCAGAAGTCTCCATCGCTGGACCACAAGCTCCAGCATGACAGGATGCCCAGGGCAGGATACCCAGAACTGCCCCTTGTCTCTTTATACCTTCCTTGGCACTAACAAGAGCCTAGCCTACAATCGACCTCCAGTGAGTCTGTGCAGGATGAGCGTGTGATTGGTGGCTTCTCCAGAACTACAGCTGGAAAGTGCACATCTGTGCCCGCGGCTGCCCGCCACAGTCTGAGCTCGCACCTGGTGCGCATGCCCGTGTGGCAGCCTGTCCGCTGGTCCTGCCGCCATGGAAACGTCTTACCTCCCAGATAATTCAGCGTTTGCAGCCTGCCTTGCAGTTCCAGGAAAACGTTTCAAGCTCTGAGCTTGGGCTACTCAGTGCTTTCTTCAGAGCCCCTCCCCGAGATGAACCAGTAATTAAGTGGTTCTCTGTCCTGTTCCCGCCGTTTTCATAGCCGTAAAGAAACACTGTCCTAACTCCAGGTCTTGGCTGTGTTTCCTCCGTGGAAGCCACATGTATGTCAATAAACAAGCATTCAGAATGGGTGCTTCGATTCCTACCTATTTATCTTTGCTTCCTGTCACTACGTATAGTTTCGTGATTTGAGTTGCTTTTAGGGTTGGGGTTTTGAGTGTGTTTATCTTCGTGTGTGTGTGTGTGTGTGTGTGTGTGTGTGTGTGTAGTGTATGATGGTGAGTGTGCATGTGTGTATGACAGTGCGTGTTTGTGTATGAGGGTGTGTGTGTGTGTGTGTGTGTGTGTAGTGTATGATGGTGAGTGTGCATGTGTGTATGACAGTGCGTGTTTGTGTATGAGGGTGTGTGTGTGTATATGATGGTATATGTATGTATGATGGTGTGTGTGTATGATATGTCTGTGTATGATGGTGTGTGTGTGTGATGGTGTGTGTGTGATATATCTGTGTATAATGGTGTGTGTGTGTGATGGTGTGTGTGTGTGATGATGTGTGTATGCATGATGGTATATGTGTATATGATGGTGTCTGTGTGTATGATGGTATGTGTGTGTGCGCGCGTGTGTGTGTGATGGTGTATGTGTGAGGCCAGCAGTCAACATGGAATGTCTTCGCTCTCACTCTCCACCTTATCTTTTGAGATGGAATTGCTTATTGAACCTGTTACTTTCCTATTGGCTAGTCTGGCTGTCCATCAGGCTCTGTTATTTCCCCCCCCCCACCCCCTAACCCCCGCCCCGCCCACCCAGCGTTGCACTGCACTGCTCTGGTCTGGTCTCGTCTGGTCTCATGTGGTTTGGTCTGCAGGACCTAGCAACACCCAAGGAGACTGGTGCTGTAGAACACCTGAAGTGATTGGCGCTCACAAAGCAAGGCCTGAGACAGTGTTTTGCAAAGCCCTCTGAATGGTTCTCTTCCGCCTACTACCTGTCTGCCTTCCTACCAGGAAGAGGAAGAGAAAATGCCTGTTGTAAATGTCCCAGCCGCTCATTCTTGGTCCCATCTCTGGAGCCGTTGCTCAGAAACAATGATGCTTTTGTATTTGACATCAAGTTTTAGTTACAGATTAATGTTTCCATAAAACCACTTTGAACCAATCAACCAATAAGATAATGTTATGGTTTTGTTTTAAATGTCAGAATTTCAATGGACTGTCTACTAAAAGTCCTCCAGGAAAGGGGACGCAGACAACGCAGGCTGGAAATTGAAGAACAGGGCTAAGCAATGTGGCATTTTTACTGTGTGTAGCATCCAGACTGCTCACGGCGCTGACAAGCGTGCCTCTTACACTTCCTCTAACCTGGGGTGTCACTTGCTTTATGTGTAATGCTGATTTGAGTCCAGGAAATTCAGTGGGTATTAGCTATACAGTACCAATGAGCTCTCGACCAACTGTTTAAAAAGAAAAGAAAACCAGAATCCAATATTGCTTTGGAAGATGAGGCCTCATCTCTGTAAACAAAATGACTCTGACCAGCAATGATGCTCAGTGGGGAGTGAACAGAAGCCTGGAGCCCTAGCCTGGGTGCCTCCTTTTCTTACTGAAGTATGGCTTTCCACGAAACACTTCACCCCCTTGTCCAACACCCTCACATCTGGTGTGTAATGTCCGTTCATGAGTTTAGAGGGCCCAGCTAGCTTGACTCTCCCTTGTCTTAAACAACAAGAACCCCCAAGAGTTACACCTGGGGTATATGACTCGCTCCTAGCTGCCCCAGCCTGCAAATGGCAGAGATGTGGCTGGAAAGCCTCAGAGTACAGTGCTGAGGAGCACCCAGTGCTGTGTATTAAGACTACGTCACCTAGCCTGTCTTTACATGCCAGCAGGTTCTCTGCATGCATGCTGCATCTCTGGACCAGTGTCTATTTGCTGGGTATTTCGCTCAGCCCTGTCCAGCCTTCCACTGCTGGCTGGAAAATGCATGCACTCTAGTGGTCACGGGGCATCCTTGGCTGCAAGCCAACACTTTTGAGCAGTATCTCTGCAGCAATCTTGAACAGTCAGGGGAATGTGAGCAAGCAAATAATTTCTCCTTTACTTGGAAAAAAAAAAAAAACTGTTTAAAGCACATGCTTCCGCCTGCAGTTATTAGTCACTCTTTCCCTGAGTCTCCTAGGTGCTGATTTCACAGAATTTTCAAAAATGTCTTTATTTCTATGTCCCCTTTCTGGGTTCAGCAACCCCACAGCTTCCTCTTCTTTACCGTCACAGTCGCCAGCCTCACACTCTGC